TTTTTTTTTTTTTTTTTTTCTGGAAGGAGGCAGGAGAGTTATGAATGTTTTTAAAGAAGAGCAGTACGAACGAAGACAAAAATTCAATAAAACAGCCAAACAATAATCTGAAATATTCTGGTAGTTTCAAGCCAATTTTCATCCAACGAAATCTCACAGTAAAGGTGAAATGCCTTTGCCTCAGTTTGCTCACATCTGCGCAGGACTGTCTTAGAAATATAGATGAATAAACACGTGAAATTTATTCCTAGGGTACCGAAAAATACCGCTCAGAGCCAAACCTTTACAAATCACTTGAGGACGCAGTCAAGAATTTAGATAGTAAAGCCTGTTCTGTTTCGCGAGTCGATGAACCAATGTCACGGCAATTTACGAACAACTGTTTTTTGCCCATTATGTTGTGTGATGCAGATGCGATCAGTGATCACTGAGTTGACGTCAACGAACTGCACTGAAATGTCGATAACTTCGTTCGAGAGCCCAAATAGTTGTCCATAAGTATGTCAAAACTCAATTTGATAATTCTGAAGTCATACATCTTCCTTGATATGAAACCAGTTTCTGCGTTTTTCCCGTTGTTACCGATTATTCATCACATACAGGAAGAGCAGAGGAAGATTTGAACAAAAAGATACTGAATAACATTGTGCATGATTTCAGCAGTTGCATCACACCGCCGCGAAATGAAAAATTACTAGTTTCCCGCTGTTTGCAAATGATCAAGTGCACATGCACGCAATGAGTACTTCAGCGCATGCATAATATGACACAGTTTCCTGACCTGATTAGAAAAAAGAAAGGTTGGGAGGTTTCGTAGACGGCTAGTGGTTGGTTAGCTCACGGAATGAACTACTTTAAAATGGTGTCAGAAGTATCGCAGCAGTTTGCTGGTAGCGTTACCATTCGATGGCGGACGTTTTGAGGCCAGATGGTTCACCAGTTATCTCCTTTACTGAGAGATCAAAAGAGGTCACCGAGGCAGCGGAAAGGCAAATTAGCTCTGGATTTCTAAGGAACAAAGATTAAAAAGCATCACTTCAGCATGGACGAATGGTAGGTAGTTTTAAAGGTGCTGCGAGAACAGATATCCTCTAGATGCTTGGTCTTTGAAATGCAAGAAGTAAATGAATTTTTGATCATGAGCAGTGTTGGTGCGAATAGACTGTGTCGATGTCGACTTGGAGGCCTTTGCAGATTTCAATAAGTAAAAAAAAGAAATCCTACAATGGAGAAAGGGTAAACCAGTTCAAAAAGAGAAAAAAAAAACTAGGAAACATGAATGTGTGGCAGCCACTGATACTATCAGTGACATCGCTATTACCATTAACCGGACCCCCCCCCCCTCTTACTACTTTTGGAAGAAAGGCAAGAACTTTAGTGTCGACAATACTCGCAGAGAAACTATATGAAGGCGTTCACAATTTTTGCTGCTTACCTACAAGACCGACCACAGATGACCTGTATATATGGGTAAGCTCAGTTGGTCGCGTATTTATATCTGTATGATTTAAAATATGCTGAACACTTTGCTAAAAGTAAAACGACAGTTTCGCACGAATGGGCGAAGACCTCTGGCATCGTTGCTCTTAGTCACCCGAACTTCTCCGTTGTATGCCAAGACGTCCATGCCGCACCTTTAATACGGACAGCGCTTTCCGCTTGCGGCATCTACTGCAACCATTGTCGTTACGTGCTGACGGTCGCACATGCAGTTATACTTCTCTGTCTGCCCAGTCTACTTCTCGTATGTACACTCGCAAACAGAAACAGACATACAGACATCCGCTAACATTGACCATCTTGACTGTCATTTTTTCGAAAATCAAGCCAATTGTTCGAGAAGTGTCTGTCGGAACTGCAGCGGAAGTGTGAGGGCGTGCGTAGATAAATTTAACATTTATTTAGTTCGTGGATATTTAACGTTAAGTTTGGTTTTCAATCAGTTTTATGTGGGGGCATATTTTAGTTTTCATTTTTTTATTTTGCTCGTAGATTACTGAAAATTCTTTGCAAACTGAACTTGCATGTGGCTGTTAAAGTATCCAAGAAATACGTGAGGGTTTTACTGTATTGGTAAAACATTTTTTGAGATTTTTAAAACTAGATTCGCTTTGAGACTTTCAGATTTTTTGCAAACTCGCATTCAAAGTTGCTATAAATTTTTGATGCTGTCTTGGCGGTACTGGTGAGCATTTCGTGGTAAGAGGCAATCTTTCAACTGATCGCCCTTGCTAGCGTCATGCATCTCTCTGTTCCCTGCCAGTACTGAAAGCGAATGACAAGAAGAGGATTTCTAAGGGAAAGACGAGTTTAGCTACTGCCAGTCGCAAAAAAAATGACAGTAACAAGAGTAACAAGAAGCAAGAAATCCACCACTTTTTTTTGTCTCTCTGTTTGTTCCTGTATTTTTATATACGTCTGACTCAGTATTTGAGGTACTTTTCTTAATCACAATAAACATTGAACACTTCTTCCCCGTTAGCTTAAAGATAGCAGAACTGTTTAATCGTGCGGAAGCTGTTTGTCAGGCAGTTATAATGCCAGACAGCTTATTTGGGAGAACAATTCCTTCTTAGCTGAACGTAGTGTCAACGTATATAAGATTAAAATCTTTAGTTTCTGCAATGCCTTTTTTTGATCCCCGATCTGTTCCTTTCATGATTGCCTTCCTGGTATACAGAAGCGTTGGGAAATTATAGAAGAAATAACTTCAGCGAAGTGGGGATTAGTTTACTTTTAGCAATGGCTTCTCTTTTAGAAAACCAGATAAGTTAAGAAAGCAAAATGGCAAGAAATTTATATGTTAACTGCTCATGTTTCATCCTTCGTCCTTATTGTTTTACTACTGCCTGAGACTGAAAGTCACTAATCCAGTTGCCAAGCGCCCTGTTTCACCATATTTTTCCCATCCTCAAAAAAATGTATTCAAAGAATCGTTTTCTTTCTCCGATCCAAGCGTTTTGAGAAAATATTTTCTTGGAAACATTCTGCGGCGACTGAGAAAGCCGAAAAACTAGAAGTGGTATCAGACCAAGAAAAGTGATGGGAGTGTTAGATTCACTATACGAAGAATGGTGCAACTAGTTGTCTCTAACTTGTCTTGTGATTCAGAGCTGATTTGTTGGTTCTTTTCTTGACCATTAACAGTTGATGCTGCTGACTACATACAGGTAGCAAACAAGTCAGCGAAGTTGTTTCATGCCATCAGCCCCTCGTCTCCCACGTGCCCCGGTGATGCGACTTTTTTTAAAATAAAGTCCTCACCCGCTCCCTTCCTCGCGAGACTATCTGCCAGAAGAATTTACCATAAAATATGAGGTAAGATTGTCAAAATACGTTGTGAACCGGTTTTGGACCTGCAGTGTTTGGCATAAGGCCGACCAAGAAAATCCACTTTTCCTTACAGGACCGTAAGATGTGTTTGACAGTTTCCGGATAGCCGCATTCATTAACGTGTA